GTTGTCGATAAGAGTACAAACCACGCTAAACCACATTTCGATTTGTTTTTTACCACAATATCAACGTCAAAGAAAATGTTTTTTTTTCAGAGCGCGAGCTGAAAAATGAATTGCGCGACACAGTGACGCGAGCAGCGTGGTATGGACTCTTGTCGACAACGGCAAATTAGCCAATCAGATTGCGAGATTAGCAGCAATTGTGGTAAAAATACCTTTTGCTCACAACCAGAGACAAATCACGTGTTGAATAGGCTTGCCACTTCCATTTCATAACATAAAATATAGGGCTAACCACGCGTTTTTTTAAAGTTATTGATCTTTTTTTAAAACTTCTACGGTGCCCGTTACATTTTTTCTTGTCACCTTCCCTGTAAGTAAAACATTTGCGTATCTTGTACTTGTTTTGCGCGCGCACTACACCATCTGAAAGTACATCAGTGTTTATAGCTGGATTTCAGTATAATTTTCGACAGATAACAGCTAGTTTTTCAGCTGGAAGATGTTAACAGTTAGTGGTTACCGATATGCCGCTATTCTAGTATTCCTGGATTAAGTACAGGTTAAGTAACCTTGATTTGGTTACAGTAGGAAAATTTTGCTTTCATTTTAGTCGTGTACTTGGTAGCGTAGTTGATTGTGTCAATGTCGTGTGCGTACTAAAAAAAAGTAGGCACCGTCCTTTAACGCCCTTTCTGTTTCTCCTCACAGCAAGTGCAGTTCAACACCACCTTTTACGCGTCACCAGTTGTACTTGTGTCTGTTCATCATGATTACGATCGTAAAGTGAAGAACCACATTCCACCAGAATACAACATAATAACAACCTGGGTCGAGGTAAGACATAACTCTTTATTGCATGTCTATCAACGGCAGTTTGTTCCTCGTTATTCTCTTCGAAACTGGTGTGTAAACACAGTAGACAAAGAATGTAATTATTTTAAACTTTTAATTAAATTTTAAGTATTTTTTAGTATTTTAAGCATTTTAAATTCACTTTTTACTTATTTCAATATATTCATTTCATCTTTGTTTTTTTTACAGGGCTCAAGTTGATATTAGTTTTGTAACTGAAATAGTTATGGTGTATAAATATTTTCAATTATTATTATCATCATCATCATCACTATTATTATTATTATCATTATTATTGTTGTTGTTGTTGTTGTTGTTATCAAAAGAATAGTCTTAAGCCTATTAGTAATAATCGTTTATTACAAAAAGGTAACATGACGTTTAATATTTGACTTCTCCTTTAGGAAGTTGGTCTGACAGCCATGAGGATTTGCGTCAAAGGCTTGAGTGGATCAGGAAGTAAACACGACCCTCTGTCTGTCAGCTATGTTGTAATTGGAGGTAACACCTGTAATCTTACTCTGGATAAAACTATCATTGAGCTGTTTTACTGAGAACGGTTCAATTATTTACTAATTCACAATTAATTCTTTCAGTTTATGTGTTCAAAAATGATGTTCAGAAGCCGGTTGACAGCCTTTTGAGCGACTGTACCTAGCCTTCAGTACTAGAATTTTGAACGACTATTAAAATAATAAATTGGATTAGTTAGGAACAAATCTTTCAAACTTGATCACTTGCTGATACTCCCTGGTTATGAAATCGAATTGAAATGCAGCCAGATCCATCCGACAGTAGTAAAGGCAAAAGTGTTTGGCAAATCAGAAAAACAGCGGTTAGTGTTCCACGTGTTATCCTCTATTATACACAGACCAACTCCAAAATATTATTTTGTTTTGCAGACCTGAACCCATGCCTTGACGTCCATTGTCCATCATTTG